CATTGCAAATACATGGACTTATGGTCCTATGGTCCTCAAAAGGCCCATTTTGTTTATCAGTTGCCATGACAACTCAGGAATTCTACCAAGATGTCTGGCTGCCAACTGTTGTTAACTGCCAATTTTCCAATGCTGCCCATTTTTGCCAGTCGCTTGGTTGACACTACCTTGCTATCCAGGAAGAGGTGAATGAACATCACACCCCCAATCATATCTTCCCAATAAGCAACTGAGTCAGAAGACCATTTAATGATTTTTGAAGCCATCTCTTCCTTGGAGTAGTTTCAGATTTTTGCTTCAGATTTTGGTAGGTTTTGAATGGCTTAAATGGATGCTTCCAGCCATTCCTGTGGAGTGATATATTCTGTTTCTGGGCCTTCAACAGCAATATGATTTGGGGATATCTTCACCCAGTCATCCACATCTCCCCTTGAATGCTTCAGGATGTTCCTTCTGAGACTCCATACTCCCAGAGAATGACCCTCTTACTGGTTTATAAAAATCTGCTCTCACGTTTTTTAGACATTTATTAAGCTATTCTAATACATTTTGCCTGGATTCTCTACAACTTTTCATTTGGAGATTGCCTAAAGACATTTGAAGCCATTCCTTCTTTAAGAATATCCCAGTCCACGATGCTCCTTTTTTAAAAAGAGATTCTCGCTGGCCATTCATGTGGAGTCAAATAATGTGTTTCTGGGCCTGCAAGAGTGATATGATTTGGGGATATCGTCACCCAGTCATCCACATCACCTTCAACAGGATGTTCTTTCTGAAATTTGATCCAGGTGTCTACAAGCCATACTCCCAGAGACACCCTTACTGGTTTATAAAAATCTGCTTTCACGCTTTTTAGGCATTTATGAAGCCATCCCAATACATTTTGCCTGGATTCTTTCGAGTTTTTGGTTGGGAGATTGTCTAAAGGTACTTTAAGCCATTCCTTGTTTATATGATATTCCAGTCCATGATGCTTCCTTTTTTAAAGAGGTTCTCGCTGCTTTTGTGGTGCTGTACTATCTACACTTGTTTGCTGGGGGGCTCACAAAGTCTATTTTGAACTCTCTACTTCTAGATGATACAACCTGGCCCTGATGCATCGATGGGTAACAGCTGTTCTTCCTCAGTAGTTTCTCTCCATTGTTGGCATTTTTTAGCTCCTTCTGTCCACCAGAAGCCTGTCTTACCTGAGTGTTTGAAGATGGTGGGACTTCACTCTCCTGCAGGTTGGGTCTCTCTTTCATCTCTCTGATCATCTGCTCATTATCAGGACAATCCTGTTTGAAATACTTCCGTGGTGGAGGTTTGGGTTTGAATGACCTGGGTTTCCTAACCAGGATCTCTGTGCATTTTTTAGTCGTATGTGGTGAAAGGGGACGGGCGCCTTGAGATGCTGATGGGGAAGACTCATTTCGCAAACTCATTTCAGAAAATGAATGTCGGGAGCCCGGTGGCTGCGTAATTGCTACATCCAGATGATGTTCTTTTCCTTGGCCATTGGTCAACTGATAAAGAAGGCCATTTCCACAAGACGACCTGGGGTTGTAACTGCTATCGCTGCTGGAACGGATCATTGGCTTTTGGGAAGGATGGTTGAGGTGAGCGTCATTCTTCTCCAAATATTTTTCACAGGGAGATTTCTTAAGCCAACTGCCACCTACATTGAAAGTAGAACACAGCACAGTCAAACATGGCACAGAAGAGATATGAGATAATGGCTAAAATCCAAAGACTTTCATAAATAATGCACCCCAAAGTGTCTGGGATTTGTGTAAGGACTTCAGTAGCCTCACACAGCTATTTGTATGGCAAAACAGGAAGGTTTCAAAAAGTCTATGCCTGTCATGCCCTCGTTGGAGNCCTAATAAAAATAATTCTGGTTTAAATTCTCATCTTTGTCCAACCATTGTTTCTAACCACACCTGAATCCGTCGCCAAAATTCCTTTGCTTTTTTGCATCGTTCTGAATTCAAAATTGCCCTACAGGATTACAGTTCATGCATGCTTGCGAGCAAGTATCAAGCAAACTCAGTTATACCTACGGAACTGTGCAGAAATTGGTTTGCGTGTGCCAGTAACAATCCTGGAACTTTACAAGTGCTCCCATGCAATCCTATGCCTGTGAGTGAAATTTATTTCTAACGAAGCCAAAACCTGAGAAAATCTCTTTCAAGTTGAGATGTCCGGGCAGTTTTTATGGCAGCAAAAGAGAAGAAATGTCGTTATCTTCTATTTGCTGAGGGATCTCTAGATAAGACAGTTACTAACTCACATAGTCGTGCAGTTGGATCATCCCATTTCATTCATGCATTGATTTTGAGCACAATCCTGGAGAGATTTATTCAGATCGTTTGCAGAAAACTGCATGCCATTCTGCAATCTTGGTCATGATAACAATCGCTTGCCCAGGATTGCAAAGCTGGAATTTGCACAATAACTCCTACGTCAGTGCTAACCAAGGAATCTCCTTTTTCCAAAGGAGACTCCGTGGTTAGCACTGACTTTCCACGGCAGGCAAACAAATCGTACCTTGGCTGTTTTTCTTTTCGCGATCTGCAGCTCCTGAGGACACCTTCTGCTGCTCTGCAGCTCGTGGAGCCAAAGAACTTGCAAATGTGCCGTGTGTTACAACCGTCTTATTTCTCAGCCGCAGCAGGTCCCCAACTTCCTGCCGACAAAACAGGAAGCACAAAGCGGACAACACTGAGTTGCATCAAACTGCATTTTCTGGTATAATCTAGAGAAACATAAAAGGTTTCATCTGGGACTCAGATTGGAACCAGGTTGGGTTTTCAAGTCTGACAAATGATGCTGTTAGTTCAGCTTTATGCCATTAGATTCTGTAAATAACCCTCAGTCAGGATTCAGTTTAATACTGACTTATCTAATCACTGGGTTATACACAGGATTTTCTTCTCTCTCTTTTTTTTTAACCATCCGTCATTTTTTGCCAGATTTTAAAATCCTTTGCAATCCATTCCTAAGCATTTAAAAAAAGAATATCAAAATAGGGACTTGATTTGCCCATGGACTTCTGGAAAAATAAAAACGATGCTTTCAGAGCCTTAAATTATGTTGAAATATTCTTCCCCCACCCCACCTCCAGTTCACATTTAATTTCCTTTGAAATTTCACTGAAAGGGGAAGAGAATGTCGGTGAAATGTTATTGGGCAAAGTGTGGTTTTCTTGCTCTTCTTCAGTTTTCAGAAGGTCCTGTTTGAATGTCGTG